AAGACGAGTTGAAAAAGCAAACATATCATCGCGGGCACGTATAGTCAGACAAGTGTGCAACAAATTTAATTATGGTAAACAATATGACGTCGATACATTTAAAAATATAATAGTGAATGACAAATATAGAATAATGTTCTGCTATGTTCCGAAGGTTGCGTGTACTAATTTTTTACGATTGTTTTTATGGTTAAATGAAAGTAATGAAAATGATATGTCATTTTTTTTGCAGCTAAATCCCGCTTCTGTTCATGTTCTAAAAAAGAACATTTCTAGTTTAAGAGCGTATTCTTCTTCTGAAATAAGATACCGCTTGAAATACTATACCAAAGCACTGTTTGTGAGAAATCCTTTAGTGCGTCTTATTTCAGCATTTCGAAATAAATTTGTTACAACAACAAATCCATACTTCGTGTCTAGATACGGAAAAAAAATAGTACAAAGATCTAAATCAAACAAAACACCCGCAATAGGTTCAATAACATTTTTAGAGTTTCTAAGATACTTGACAGATGAAAGGACTATCAAAGAGGGATACCAAGAACACTGGATGTTATTTAACGACCTTTGCCATCCGTGTTTTATAGACTACAATTTTATTGGAACATATGAAACTTTTGATCAGGATGTCAATACTTTACTGGAACTGCTTAATATACAAGACAAATTTATCTTCCCGGGGAGAGATAAACGTTACAAGCATGCAAGATCAGAAGAATTGTTGTCATCAACGTTAAGTGATGTTGACCAAGACACCTTTAACAGTCTTATCAATATATATGCTTATGATTTTTCTTTATTCAATTACACAATCCCTTCTTTGTCAGATATCAAGCTAAAAAGTCGTGATATACATTGAAATAACGTAACGCAACAAAATGATAATTGTTTAACTTCTTTGATAACACATTTTAACAATACATCAAGCTGCTTTTTCTAGTTGATAAAATTTCGTTTTGTTTGGATATTTTGAATAAAATGTATAATGTTAGGTATTTGATTTTGGATAATACAGCAACTCACAAATTGGGTGGCTATTGTTAATATTTATTTCTTACAAGTTTATGAAAAATAAACTTAATTTTGTATTATTTTGTAAGTTTCCGGACATTTTATTCTTTTTGTTATTAACATTCACAAACCGTAACGTACAAAGCAAATGTTTTTTTTTTTTTTTATTAGGAAAGTATTTGAAAAATCGAACGGAAAGATAAACATATTTATAGCAGTTAAACTAATAATATTAATAATAATTATAATTATAATAATTAAACTGATAATAATAAGACGAGTCATTGATATGTAATGTTGCTATGTATATTTATTTTGCAATTAAAGAAAAAAAAATCCTTAAATGTTTTGAACAATTTATATTCAGATTGTACTTTATAATTGCATTAGAAATGTTACCATTACTATATATACAGCAATGCTAATTTGTATTGTATATTCTATACTTTTTGTATGGGCTGGAGAGCTTTTGTACAATAAAGCTAGTGAATTGAATTCAATTGAAACTATGTGACTGTTACCATTGTGTGTTGACTTAAGACACAACGCACTTCATTTACTCTTTTAATTCTCTAATAACTTAATAAGTATAGTATTTCACAGTGCACTTTAAATTAAAGGCCTTTTTTAGGCAAACGATTTAAGAATTTCTCATTTATTTTCAACAAGTAAAGACAAGTAAAGCGTATTGTGTTACACTTCGGACAAGACTTTTACCAAACATACATTTTAAACATAACAGATAGATTTTGATTTAAGGTAAACATTATATAACAATGATTTAGGCATAAGAGGACAATTCCTTTAAACATCTATTAAGGGGACAATTTGCAGTTTTCAGTAGAATTGATTTTTAAAGATCAACACATTTGTAGCCTTGAAAGCTCAATTAATGTTTGGCTGTATTCAATTTTTCCGATACACCTTATAAATAAGTATACAAAAAATTGCCCCCCCCCCCTTATATTTGCTTAGTATAGTATATTCTGTAAGGTGACCGGTATATATTATATATATATCAAGTGGACAAACATTGCTAATTTCCACTTTAGATTACAAGAGTTCTCGGGGAGACAACACGCTCCACTATCCGAGTACAGCTTATAAAGAGACAATATTTCAGGATAATCATTATTGTACATAATTTCCTATCTTGAAAGTAGGGGGGGGGGGTTATAATTAACAAATGTAGTACAATAATGTGCAAAATAAAGGGTTAAATTAAATTTTACATTAAAAAAAAAATAACAAACAAAAGAAAATAAATTTTAACACGATTGTTGACACAGGTCATTTTAAAAAAAAAAATCAAATAATTTTTTAGTTTAACATTATTTTATGCTTGCATGAAAGATTTTTTGGACCAGGGGGAAATATTTAAACGGGGGAATAATTTGAGTTTTACATTTCTGACAATGAAACACAAAATTTGGGTTTTTTTGGGTTTTCCATACCAAAAGCTGAGCACTCAGTGACAAATTTTATAGCGCGAGTCATTTTTAAGCCTTGTAACCAGATGTTCTGAAATTTAAAATTGGATAAAACATGGGAAGGTTCATTATGAACCTTAGGTTAATCTAATCCAGTAATCACATTACTTTGTTTAAAAGTATGAATAGCACTATTTAAGAGGTAATATAAGTTTATTTTATCACATAATACATTTCATCATTTCTATACAACACAATACATTTCATCTCTATAATATAACACAATAAATACTATCTCTTTCATACAACACAGTGCATTTCACGTCTACCACAAATCACAATACATCACATCTCTACCATATAACACAATATATTTCGTCTCTTCCATTTAACACAAAACATTTTATTCCTCAACATGACCCAATAGGTTTATTTTCTTTCATATAACACAATGCATTTCATTCCTTCAATAATGCACTTTTCATTTAATATTTTTATTAAAAAAATAAGTTTCATCTCTACCATATAGCATATTTCTTCCATAAGACAAAACACATTTCATCTCAACAAAACTACACAATAATTTAATTCCATGACATTCCCAAACATGAAAGGAAAAGAAATTTACAATGGGATATCTGAAGATAAACACTTATTATTTAATACTTAAGTGCTTAAAATACCAAACTTTTTTTTTACTCTGAAATGAATTAAAACAAATTACATAGGTTTTGAATTTGCACCTGTCTGTGTGAGAAAATGAAAATTAGACTCATTAAGATAAGATTAAAATTAACTTATGTAAACGCAATTACATTTCGCAGTTCCATATAAAAGGGCGGTGCTGTTTCGTTCTAATCTTAGTTGAAAAGTATTTACTTGAGCCATACTAAATAGAGTACATTTTTCAATACACATTCTGGGTGTTCTTTTACTCAAATTAGACATATTCAGTATGACTTTTATAGACTTCAGTAAATTTCTGCATCAAAAGAAGAGCCTAGAACATATTTAAGATTTAAAATCTAATAATTCACAAGTCATTTGACAAAGATGAAGAAAATAATTATTTTTATGTTTTTTGATAGCCATTTTTCATGGCCTTACAAAATTTAATCCCTGTCAGTTTTGTGCTTGTTAAATATTTCTACATGAGACTCGATATATTTTAAAAAAGGGGAAATACACTCGTTCCCCTTTTTAATGCACTATTTTTACATTATGTTCAGCTAAAGTGATGGTATTGTTTTGTGAAAAGTAAAAGACAAACAGCTAAAGTGAACATCCAAATTTTATTTTTTGGTTCTTTTGCACATGTTTTCGGGGGAACCGTTCCCCCGAAGAACAAAAGCTATGTACAGAATACAACATGTCTCAATAAATAAAAAGCAATTTTTCAGTAATCAGAGATACATTATGCTTACGGGGGAACTCATCGAAATAAAAAGTAAATTTCAAAACTTATCTTTTACACATTTTCTAGAGTGGAACCGTTGCCCCTTAAAAATACAGATATAACAATTTGATCAAATAAAATGCAATAATTAAGAAATAAGAGCCATGTTACCGGTAAGAGGGAACCATTCTCCCATTAAAATAAAAAATAAACTTCAAATCTTATCTATAACACATTTTCTAGAGTGGAACCGTTCCCCCTTAAAAATGCAGTTATAACAATTTGATAGAATAAAATGTAATAATTTAGAAATTTAGAGCCATGTTACTGGTAAGAGGGAACCGTTCCCTCATCGAAATAAAAGAAACAATTCAAAAGTTATCTATGACACATTTTCTAAAGTGGAACCGTTCCCCCTTAACAAAACAAGATTTAAAAGTTTGATAGAATAAAATGCAAACTTTTTTGTATATGTGTATATATTATAATTTGTTTGTTATTTTTCCATTGTTGTTTTGAATCTAAATATCTTGTATATTTTAGTATTGATGGAAGCTCAAATATATGATAATATTTTGAATACTTGATCTGTTTTTATGTGGAGGGAATTTGTTAGTTTATTTGTGTATTTATTGTTTTTACTATGAATTAATTCTATGTTAATTTCAGTCATATTTATAGCATGGGAAAAAGCATACAATTATATTTAAACCTAAATTTGACATCAGATATATATTCATTAATGAGAATCATTCCCACATTTTTGCTTTGCAGTTAAAGCTCTGTAGCGCATGATATCAAGTAAGGTTATAGGTCAGAACTTTTAATTGCACTAATATTTATATTTTCCAACAAGCACTCTTAAAGGTTTTCGTTTTTTTTTGCCATTTCTTTAAGAGTTCTGTGGAATCAATCAATTAGTTGTTGTATCAATATATATATACAAAAAAGACCCCATCTAATGTCACTATTTGTTATAGTAAGATAGGATAGTAAGCTGGTAGATATTTGTTTGTAAGGAAAATATACTGTATTAATATCGGCACCTATAATGATGGTATTAATAAAATCTTTAATGTGACAGATCGATGCGTGATTTCAAGTTAAGTTTAAGGTCAGAACTTTTAATTGCACTTATATTTACTTTTATCCAACAAACAGTCTTAAAGGTGGTTTTCGTTTTTCGCCATTTTTTTAAGAGTAAGGCGTAGAAATTAATGAATTATTAAATATTATATTTATAAAAAAAACCTATTATCACTGTTTGTTGTACATAGAATGATTGTAGACCAAAAAATTTAATTAATTTTCTTAGCTCAAAATATAATTATAACATTTGTTATTTCTATCAAATTGTTTTATCTGTTTCGTTAAGGGGGAACGGTTCCACTTTTAGTTAATAAAATGTATTACAGATATTTTTTCTATTTTGATGAGGGAATGGTTCCCTTTTACCCGTCACAATTGGCTCTAACTTCTAAAGTATTACATTTTTACTTATATGAAATTGTTTAATCTATTTTTTTTTAGTTGTTTTTTTAAAGGGGAACAGTTCCTCTTTAGAAAATGTGTAATAGATTGGGTTTTATAATTTTGTTTTTGTTTATTTGTTTATGAGGGAACGGTTCCTTCTTACCTGTAACATCAGTCTAAATTCTTAGCTTCATCAAATTGGTTATCTGTATGTTGTTTTTTGTGGTGAACGGTTCCACTTTAAAAAAAATGTGTTATAAATTAGTTTTGTAATTTATTTTTATTTTGATGAGGGAACGGTCCCTCTTACATGTAACATGGCTCTAAATTTTTGTTAATTATTGCATTTTATTCTATCAAATTGTTATATCTGTTTTGTTAAGGGGAAAGGTTCCACTTTAGAAAATGTGTCATAGATAAGTTTTGAAATTTATATTTTATTTCGATGAAGGAACGGTTCCCTCTTACCAGTAACATGGCTCTAAATTTCTAAATTATTGCATTTTATTCTATCAAATTGTTATGTCTATTTTGTTAAAGGGGAACGGTTCCACTCTAGAAAATGTGTTATAGATAACTTGTGAAAATTATTTTTTATTTCGATGAGGGAACGGTT